TTTCAAACTCGAGACTTCTCGAATATTTTCTCTTATTTAGTCTGTTCACAATAGCAAATGTATTGAAATAGAACAAGTTATTAAATCAGTACCCTGCACAGCGCTACGAACCTGCGTATGAATATGCAGATGACCAGGATTGCAATAAGTAATGCGAGCAGCACAATCAGTAAATACAGTATATATGTATCAACCTTGTCTTCTGTAAATTATTTACATTCTGTCATGTATTAAACTTGATGTATATACATTCTCGAACCATACAGGAATGTATATACAAATACATATGGAAACACAATAAAAATAAATGAATAAAAAATTAAGTAACAAATACACGAGTGAACATAACATACTCATATAAAAATACCATCGGGTCCAATATAGTGATGTTAGTTATGTAAGCAGAGTTTCTTTCAGGCATCAATTACTGGGGAGACTGAAGAGAGTCTACTGCCCACCCCCCACCCCACCCCCAAATCGAAATGAAATTGATATAGAAAATGTATGCTTTAACCCCAGAAAATTTAGTCCGCCCCACCCCCTTCCAAAAATGTCAAGTGCGCCGCCCCCGGTGAAAAAAGTTCGATCGAAAGAAACACTACGTACAAGGTATTGTCTCACCTCAGGTAAAATGAAGACCCGTTAAAACTACCACTAATTTCATTTATTGGAATATGTATAAATTAAGATTTAAATTTGTCATAAACTATGTTTAGAATGGGAACAGGGCATTTCCCCCCTTTCAATTACCCCCCGGATATTCCCCCCCCCCCCCAACATTACCCCCCAGAGTAATTACCCCCCCCTGTCAATTACCCCCCCCCCTGTCAATTACCCCCCGCCCAGTAGGACATTACCCCCCCCCCCCCCGGACAGGGTTAGAGTTAGGGTTAGGGCTAGGTTTATGGTTAGGTTTACGGCTAGGGCTAGGGTTATGGTTAGGTTTTAGGGCTAGGGTTAGGGTTAGGGTTAGGTTTTAGGGCTAGGGCTAGGGTTAGGTTTTAGGGCTAGGGTTAGGGTTAGGGTTAGGGTTAGGGCTAGGGCTAGGGCTAGGGTTAGGGTTAGGGTTAGGGTTAGGGTTAGGGTTAGGGTTAGGGTTAGGGTTAGGGTTAGGGTTAGGGTTAGGGTTAGGGTTAGGGTTAGGGTTAGGGTTAGGGTTAGGGTTAGGGTTAGGGTTAGGGTTAGGGTTAGGGTTAGGGTTAGGGTTAGGGTTAGAGCTAGTTTTAGGGTTAAGGTTGTGTCTAACTTTGGTTTTGTGTGAAGTTTTAGGCTAAGGTGGATGCTTAGGTTTTGGTCTTTTTCTTAAGGTTTGGATTAAAGCAGTATATAGGTATAAAATTCTAGTTAGAGTTAGGATTTTAACTTGAGAGGGGGGGGGGGTAATTCCCCCGGGGGGTAATTGACAGGGGGGTAATTGACAGGGGGGTAATTGCTCCGGGGGGTAAATACGGGGGGGGGGGGAATGTCCGGGGGGGAAATATCCAGGGGGGTAATGTCCTGTAGCCGTTTAGAATACCGATCGAGTCCTTGTCCTGACTGTTCAATTTTTCTCTTGGCAAGCCCGTCTCGGCCACATCTTTAGGAACATTTGGGTCAGCTGGAAATTTGCTTTTTAAAACACAATCTCCGGTGATGACGTCACACAGGCGTTTGTTCTCAATGGCTGCGTACACACAATCAGGGTCACATTGTTGTTTGCAGTTGGGCCCGAACGTTGTGTCGCTACATGCTGTGGAAGTTAAAGGGTTAAATTGGTTCTAAAAGGGTTTAAGTGGTTCTAGTATTTCAAGGGTTAAAGTTGTTCTAATCAAAATCTTTAAAATATTTATTTTACCGAGGCGGTAGATTGTTATTTTTGTGTTTTATACAAGAAATTGTATTTTTTGTGGACCTATGTTATACATTTGTTTTAAGGAAATTACAACACACGTGTTTCATTAGCCTGCAAGAAAACTATAACAACCGAACATAAGCTACTCAAGGTTATATATATATAATAATAAAATACCAACTACGTATATAGTATATTGGCAGCAGTTTATAACCATGTCCAGTAAATTCGTTGCAGGATAAATTAAATATTACATATCAAATGTTACATCAACACATTTTATGTATAATATGAAGATTTTCCAAAAATGTAATAAATCAAGTTAAACTTGATATAGAAATTGTTTTATTTATGCAGAGTAATTAAATTATATATTTGGAACAAAAATATACGTGTTCGTGCCTTCGATATCGAATAACGTCTCCAAATTTCCTTAAGGTAAGGCCTTTGATGCCAGTTTATTGGGCACCCAAAAACATTCCATTCTATTTAAAGGCTCAACCGTCCTCGGGCAATCTCTTAGTCTACCCAATTGTGATGGGTACCTGACTCGCCTTGGGAAATTACACATAGTGCTGACCACATAACCACTTCAAAGGCCCTGTGCAAAGAAACGTCTAATGCTTGGAAAAAGCGGTAGAGCGCTTGGCTGCTACTCCGAAGGTTTTGAGTTCGAATCCGGGTTCAAGTCTGTACATCGTTACTAAGTCCGACCAGCTCTGATGGGTACCTAACTCATGTTAGGGAAAGGCAAAAGAGGCTGGGCAAAGTGCTAAACACACCTTTCCTTCATATGCTGAGGTCAAGAAACATATGACCTCCACTTCATCTGCCTAAAGGATCGCTAGGTCTAAAGATGATTCTTATATATATATATATATATATATATATATATATATATATATATATATATATATATATATATATATATATATATATATATATATATATATATATATATATATATATATATATATATATATATATGTATATATATATATATATATATATATATATATATATATATATATATATATATATATATGTATATATATATATATATATATATATATATATATATATATATATATATATATATATATATATATATATATATATATATATATATATACTTGTTCGTTTTTCACCTTGTGTAAAGTAGTGAAACACGTTTACCTCAGACCAATGAACATTATTGCCTGGCTTATTTTCAGGATATTCCCAACAAACTGCACATAACGTCTTCATTTCCACCCACCTTTATCGCAGAAGTCGCCCAGACGCCCAACAGGACAGCTTAGACAGACGCCATCTGTCATGTTACACAGCTGGTCGACGCAGTTTTCGCTGCAAGTTTCCGTACAGTTTTTTCCGTAGTAGTGTTTATCACAATCTAAATATATAAATACTTTCTTGTCGGATATAAAACGTAAAAAATTACGTTGAATAACTATTTCGTAATCAGATAATTGTGTCTACATTTCCAATATTTTTGAAACATGTGTCTTGCTACTTGCATGACTAAGCTGTGACTAATATTGTTTAAAATAGGTATAAACAGTTTATTGGACTATTTCAATGACACAGAGCAATTGAAATTTTCATGGAAGTGTAACAGATTTCCAATGTCAGTAGGAGCATTAAATTTTACATCATAACATTGTGTATATATATATATATAATTTTGTTTTATATATATATATATATATATATATATATATATATATATATATATATATATATATATCATTGTGTATTAATACATAGACCTATATCTAAATATCGAGATCTAGTTAGTATTAAGCATTAAGTTTATATACATTAGAATAGATCTTCTAGATTTTGCATTTCTAAATTAATAAATAACAATTAAAACCGTAGCATGGCGTAGGTAAAGTGTGTAGAGTGTACTATAGAGTAAAACAGGCCTAACAAAAAAATAATTTAACTTGAGTTAAAAAACATTTTCCCTTTAAATCGGTAACCATTATTAGGAATAATGTTACATCTTAATAATCTATGAATAACAGTCATCAAACAAAAGCCAACTATAATAAAAAGGTATACAGCCTAGATTGAACTAAAAAAATTCCCCCGTTCATCATTTTGTTTAATTTGATCACCTTGGGTGTTCCATTGTTATGACATTCATCGTTTTACTCTCCAAGGCCACATAAGTTCAGTTCAATGTGATGTTGAGTGCGGTTTCATTAAATATTTAAATCGATACAATAATTCATTGTTATTTTCAATGGCTTATGCTCAATACAAAAATATGAAAATGAGTGTAATCGATGATTCACAAACGACTTTAATTTTTAAACTTGTAGCTTTAATTCTATCGCTTGCCGCTTGCCACATTTAAAAAAAAATTAAATCTAGTATAATTGCATAGAATTTTCCTACGTATTAAATGTTGTATGGCATACGTAGTCTGTGAACATAAACACAATTAAATTATAACTTTAAAAAAAGTTATCATTTCAAATATATAGTTAACATCTATCACTGGATCAAACACACAAAGCATCTTAGACAAAACCTATACATTCAAACGGCTAAATCAGCGCAAAAAAGATAGACGCGAGAGTTTCAGATCGATCAAAACGATTAACTTTTAAAATTAGTTAAAAAAGAAAAGATATAAAATTTAAAAACTCTATAGTAAAATTACTATAAAGACTCCGCGCGTATGTTAAAAAAACAGTTTATGTGACTCTCTATAGTAATACAGTATTTGGATTTTATCTTTCCTGTAAATAATACATTTTCGGAGATAGATTACGACAACGAAATGCCGCAAATGTTTGTCGACCAAACCAATTTCTGTAATTTTATGTATTATGATATTATTTATATACCGGATGTAGCTTAAGGCAACCTATACGCTATAATGTAATTGTATGTAACTTGAGATTGCCTACATATCAAATACTTTACTTGTACAAAATACACAAAAATTATATATATATATATATATATATATATATATATATATATATATATATATATATATATATATATATATATATATATATATATATATATATATATACTTGTTCGATTTTTCACCTTGTTTAAAGTAATGAAACACGTTTACCTCAGACCAATGAACATTATTGCCTGGCTTAATTTTCAGGATATTCCCTACAAACTGCACATAACGTCTTCATTTCCACCCACCTTTATCGCAGAAGTCGCCCAGGCGCCCAACAGGACAGCTTAGACAGACGCCATCTGTTATGTTACACAGCTGGTCGACGCAGTTTTCGCTGCAAGTTTCCGTACAGTTTTTTCCGTAGTAGTGTTTATCACAATCTAAATATATAAATACTTTCTTGTCGGATATAAAACGTAAAAAAATTTGCGTTGAATAACTATTTCGTAATCAGATAATTGTGTCTACATTTCCAATATTTTTGAAACATGTGTTTTGCTACTTGCATGACTAATCTGTGACTAATATTGTTTAAAATAGGTATAAACAGTTTATTGGACTATTTCAATGACACAGAGCAATTGAAATTTTCAAGGAAGTGTAACAGATTTCCAATGTCAGTAGCAGCATTAATTTTTACATCATAACATTGTATATATATATATATATATATATATATATAATTTTGTTATATATATATATATATATATATATATATATATATATATATATATATATATATATATATATATTTATATCATTGTGTATTAATACATAGACCTATATCTAAATATCGAGATCTAGTTAGTATTAAGCATTAAGTTTATATACATTAGAATAGATATTCTAGATTTTGCATTTCTAAATTAATAAATAACAATTAAAACCGTTGCATGGCGTAGGTAAAGTGTGTAGAGTGTACTATAGAGTAAAACAGGCCTAACAAAAAAATAATTTAACTTGAGTTAAAAAACATTTTCTTTTAAATCGGTAACCATTATTAGGAATAATGTTACATCTTAATAATCCATGAATAACAGTCATCAAACAAAAGCCAACTATAATAAAAAGGGATACAGCCTAGATTGAACTAAAAAAATTCCCCCGTTCATCATTTTGTTTAATTTGATCACCTTGGGTGTTCCATTGTTATGACATTCATCGTTTTACTCTCCATGGCCACATAAGTTCAGATCAATGTGATGTTGAGTGCGGTTTTATTAAATATTTAAATCGATACAATAATTCATTGTTATTTTCAGTGGCTTATGCTCAATACAAAAATATGAAAATGAGAGTAATCGATGATTCACTAACGACTTTAATTTTTAAACTTGTAGCTTTAATTCTATCGCTTGCCGCTTGCCACATTTAAAAAAAATTAAATCTAGTATAATTGCATAGACTTTTCCTACGTATTAAATGTTGTATGGCATACGTAGTCTGTGAACATAAACACAATTAAATTAAAAATTTTTAAAAAGTTATCATTTCAAATATATAGTTAACATCTATCACTGGATCAAACACACAAAGCATCTTAGACAAAACCTATACATTCAAACGGCTAAATCAGCGCAAAAAGATAGACGCGAGAGTTTCAGATCGATCAAAACGATTAACTTTTAAAATTAGTTGAAAAAGAAAAGATATAAAATTTAAAAACTCTATAGTAAAATTACTATAAAGACTCCGCGCGTATGTTTAAAAAAAGACAGTTTCTGTGACTCTCTATAGTAATACAGTATTTGGCTTTTTATCTTTTTCTGTAAATAATACATTTTCGGAGATATATTACGACATCGAAATACCGTAAATGTTTGTCGACCAAACCAATTTCTGTAATTTTATGTATTATGATATTATTAATATACCGGATGTAGCTTAAGGCAACCTATACGCTATAATGTAATTGTATGTAACTTGAGAGTGCCTACATATCAAATACTTTACTTGTAGAAAATACACAAAAATTATATATATATATATATATATATATATATATATATATATATATATATATATATATATATATATATATATATATATATATATATATATATATATATATATCCTAATATATAATAGCCCACGTGCGCACTTCTCTCTCTCTCTCTCTCTCTCTCTCTCTCTCTCTCTGTCTGTCAGCAAAATATTTTCGCCGGACATCACATCAGAATCTACAGCGATATATCGTGAATTTGAACGGAATTTTATTGAAAATAATATGGTAGATGTTTTAAATGTATAACGAAAATTGTATTTAAAGAAGAAAAATAAAAAATAAAGGCGTATTCGAATGTAGAAAAACAGTGTTAATTATGCAACAGGAAAAGCGTATATGGTTGTGAAAAAAAACGCATTTAACAATGACGTCGCTTATTGTTTACACTAAAAGAGCACGAAACTAATGACGTCATCTTCCGAGTTTAGAATAAAATAAAGAAATGAAATATTTCATTCAAATATGATTGAGAGCTAGATTCTACTCACGATATGAAATGTATACAATACGATTTTCTCGGCCTAAACTTTTATAAGTTTTTACTTTATCTATTTGGATTCTAGATATAGATCTAGATCTCGATTCTAGATCTAGACTAGATCTACGGAAAAACTAGACGTAGACGCTAAAATGTGGATTTAGACTAGAATCCAGATCTATCTCGGTCTACTAAAAACAACATTGAACAACCGCGTTTTTAAAGAAATCTTTTAAGTCTCTTAATTTTAAGTCTCTTAATCAACGAGTGCATTTAATATGCTGTGGTTACCGATGAAGAAATGAACTATTTCATTTAAATCTATAGATCTGATCTTAAAAAACTAATAAAAATAAATCGCTTTAAAAACAAGAAGAATACCGTGGAATAGCCGAGTTTTTAACGGAATCATTTAAGTCACTTAATCAGTGTGTGCCTGTCTAGATCTATGGAAAAACTAGACTTACACAGATATAGACCTTACCTAGATCTAGAATGTATTCAAATAATACATTTCTATACTAAAGTATTTAAGGCCTTAATTACTTTATTGAAATCTTTGTTTATCTATGCAATTTGCTAATCTCTACAATATATAAAGCAAAGTTGTCGGGTGCCCGATAGGGCACTTCCAGGCGCCGTAGGCGCTTCAAATTTGGCAGGATCTTGCCTTGGGGCGACAGAACACGGATACCGTAGGCCGAAAAGTCTACGATGAGGGGGTCAAAACTGACCTCGACTGACCGGCGCCTTATATGAGCTATACATCGAAAAAAAAAATGTCCACGTAGGAACCTCTTCATAACTCCTGAGGTCGTAGACCGACCCTCTGGCGAATTAATTAAGCATTCAAATTCTCAATGTTTTCGAAAGCCTAAGCGAAGCCTAGTATATATAAATATAAATATATATATATATATATATATATATATATATATATATATATATATATATATATATATATATATATATATATATATATATATGTGTGTGTGTGTGTGTGCGTGTGTGTGCGTGTGTGTGTGTGTGTGTGTGTGTGTATGTGTATGTGTATGTGTGTGTGTGTGTGTGTGTGTGTGTGTGTGTGTGTGTGTGTGTGTGTGTGTGTGTGTGTGTGTGTGTGTGTGTGTGTGTGTGTGTGTGTGTGTGTGTGTGTGTGTGTATTCGCGACGGCTATTATCAGAGTAACATTTTTTAAAAATGCTCTTAACACTTTTGTGTTTCAGATTTTCTTCAAACGTTACAAATAAGTTCAATAAAAACGAATTTACCCTGTTCACAGTAGTCTCCCCGCCATCCAGGGGGACAACTCAAACACCGGCCTGTGATGCTGTCACAGGTCTGATTCTCACATTTGACGCTACAGTTTAAGCCACAACCCTGGCCGTAGGTTCCATGTTCGCAGTCTATAAATAGGTTTCAACAATCTCGAGACAGTCCAAAAGTATGTTTAAACACATTTTGAGAAATTCAAAAAAAAATTTTATCAAATTCCGAAACAGTTCTAAAATGTGTTGATAAATACTCAAGGCAGTTTATATAATCTTAAGACCGTCTAAAAATATGATTAAATAGATTCTGATACAGTCAAAAAATGTGTTCTAAAATCCCGAGACAGTCTAAACCCTTTAATAGGCTATATTTTTACCATAATGAGTGTAATAATATTTAGGTTTAAGACTGCTATATTAAAGCATTAATAATAATAATACTGGTAATACTAAAACCTAATGTCGTCATACGTAACAAAACCATGATATCAGTTTAGTTAGAGCAAGCAATGTAATCGAAGTTTATAAAGAGCAGTAGAAGATTAGTTGATGCTATCTTCAATGATTGAACACCTACCTCTAATAAGCGGGTTGGCAATGTCCGTGTATTTATGCTGAGCATCTAAAATGGATGATAAATTCATGTATGCAAATTACAGCAAATAACCAATGTAGGTATGGCGGTAGAGTAAGCAGTTCCCCTACATCGGTATATTTAGGGATAGTTTTGTTAGTTATTCTACCTCGGTACTGTTACGGGTCAGTTGTAGGTTAGATTACAATAGGTTAGAATAGTCTATAACGTACGGAAGAGGCGTCTGTGAGTTAAGTTAACCCCGGTGTGTTTTTAACCCCTGTGTTGTTACTGGTATTGTTATCCCAAGGTGTTAGTAGCAGCTAGGGACGAGGGCTTGTGTTGTAATGGTGAAGATGATAAGTTAAATAAAGGTTTGAACAGTTTGAATTGTGTTTAGAGTTGAACCAAGTATTAAACAGGTAGACCTAGAAGAATAGACCGTCTCGAACGACAATTGACTTTAACAAGTACATTACGTGAGAGTTGTGTTAGTTCTTCTACCTCGGTACATTCTGTTAGTACATTACGGGAGAATTGTGTTAATACCTCAACCTTGGTCCTCAACCTAAAAGGTCCCTAACATAAGTAACTGTACACGTGGACTAGAATTCAAACCCGACACTGTGTAGTCTTTTATTCTACCACCAGACCAGGCCGCAAAATCATGCCTGAGAGTGTTGTAATGTTAAAAGTGGATTAATTTAGGAACGGCATTGAAACGCGTAATATAACAATTTAAAATAGAGCCCATATGTATTGTTGGATTTCTTATTCCAACTTTCATTTCCACTCGACAAACATCAGCAACTTAATTATGTACATACGAACGTTTGCCTTCTATATAATTGTATAAATAGATTGCTATTTTTGGTTTTACAATTGAACCCACGGATCCTAATGGGTCTACCCAATACGTTACCGTTTTCGCACACCCTATATGGTGGCATGCACTCCAAGCATGAGCTCTCGACATTGTGACAGAACTCCGGTCGACACGTACGCTGGTGCATAGAGGCACATCCTTGGTCGAAATAGGGATTGATGCAGACTACAAGTACAACGGATCATTAGTAATATCAGAGTTATCAAAATTCAGTATCTATCTCTCTCTCTCTCTCTCTCTCTCTCTCTCTCTCTCTCTATATATATATATATATATATATATATATATATATATATATATATATATATATATATATATATATATATATGTTATGGTCAAAGCCCGAAGTCGGCCAATGTGCGGATCGGCCAATATCGCCTCCCATAGGTCGGTCAAAGTCCGAAACTTTGCTTCGTTTCGGCCTTTGGCCGGCCAGTCCGCAGACTGGCCATGGTGGACCGGCCAAAGTCTTAATTAGAAGATCATCTGGCTAGGGACGACCGGCCGAAGTCCGAATTAGAAGATCATGAGCAGATTTTGGTTTTTTTATGCCGTAAGGATCATGAAATTAAGTCTTTTATTTATTATTAATTAAAGTAAATGACAGAAAAATCCAAATTTTTTATTGTACTATAGTCTCAATCAATCAATATTATAATTTGTTACAACAAGTTGAACTTTTATGGCATTTAGAAGTACATAGCAGCTTGTTATTTATACACTTGCAGCGATTTGTTGTGCACTTAGTTGTGCAATTGCAGCGAGTGTAGCCTTAACCCCTCAGTCAATGATTGTGAAGATGCGATGGTTTGTAGTGATTTACCTCAGTGCCAACTGACGACAATAAGAACAGTTTTTCGTGAAGAATTGAAAACTCACTTCTAGCATACACTTGTTTTAGAACACCATGTTCCGTTCCTAATTTGTAGAAACCGCCCTCGACGCTCATGACAACTACAATCACGCTTCGGGGATCACCTCTGTCAACATCTGGAACACGGATGCGTACTTTGTCACCCACTTCACCATCTTTAAATTTTGTATTTGATGTTTTAAGCATCTTAGCACCTTGAGTTTGCAAACCAGTGTGAGCTGCTGACCTGTGTTCCATGACGCCCAGGCCATCTCAAGTCGCTTGGACACTATTGTTCAACTTACAAGGAGCGCGGCAAATTCTTTTGAACGTTCCGTCTTGTTGCAAGTGGTCGGTGACGCCGACTGTCTTTGATTTAGTTCTTTGATGATTGTCATCATGGATGAGGCTGTCACATACAGTTGTAGCCCATATATGGAAACTAACATGGATTTACTTTTTTTTTCTTTTGACAGCCATGTTTGACGGCCTTTTCTATCCAAGTCGCCTTGCATATATACTGCTATACAAAAAAAGCCAAACAATACGTTACTCACAATGAAACCGCACCCAGAATAATGAAAACGCGATCACAACTTAGTCTAGATAGGACATTGACCAGTATGTCTCGGCCAGTGCGCGTATTGGCCGGTCAATGTACGAAATACGCTCTTAGTGCTAGGTTATTCGGGCTTTGGCCAAGAGAGCCGGCCAATGCACGCAATCCGCACTTTGGCCGCACTTCGGGCTTTGACCGTAACATATATATATATATATATATATATATATATATATATATATATATATATATATATATATATATATATATATATATATACATATCGCACCCTCACGGGGCGCCGCCTTTGCGAAATTTAAAAAAAAAATGATTATTTTTTTTTTTTGCAGAAACCTCCCCTGACCTGATCTAAAGTTCGATGACGATCAGATGAACGGTGTCAATCTGCAATCGACTTTTACTTTTATAAATCGAATCGCTTCCTGTCGGGGCGCCACCCCAGCGAATTTAACATTTTATTTTCGCAGATACCTCCCTAGGAGTATTCTCAACAACTTCCTAAAATTTTATGGCGATCGGATGAAAGGTGTAGTAATTAATAAAAGACAGACACACACATACATACATTGCTTTATATAAATAAATGTATATATATATATATATATATATATATATATATATATATATATATATATATATATATATATATATATATATATATATATATATATATATATATATACCTAATCCAAATCAAATATCACAATATTGAAATAAAAATGTTAGTGGCTCTTTGAAAGCTGAGAAATTAAGTAAATGGTAACTTTTTGGCTCTTCCGTCTCAAAAGGATGTCCTAGATGGATGTCTAGGCCGTATTGAAAAACTGTCGGTTTGACTCAAAGCCCTCGACGAGTGCTAAAAAATGACCGCGAATAAAATTATATTTCTATGAGCTATATATCAAAAAATCTTTTGCCGAACGACCCCCCCCCCCCCTTGATATTTTGTGAGGTAGTAGAAGAACGTCTTGGGGTGTCAGAAAAAACTCGCCATATCCGGGAACAAATCTAGAAATGGGTAAAAACTGACCAGTGGTATTTTTCTATATAATCTTTGTATTTTATGGGGAAAACAGAAGGTAATTTCAACAAAGATTTTGGGGCAATTATGTATAAAAAAAATAAATTCTAATACGTACTTGTTATTTAAATGTGTCGGATTTTTAGCTATAATTTGGTTTTTTCTTTGCTTTATCGCTAATATCGTTCAACGTGCTGTAAAGCACAATGCGTTTTGAGCAATAAATATTTTATAAATTATTTTCCTCAAATATGTTTAACATTAGAAATATAGAGGCCTATTATTGACGTGTAACGGTTTCCGACGGCTAGTACACACACACACACACACACACACACACACATATATATATATATATATATATATATATATATATATATATATATATATATAGTCATCTTGAACAAAAAGAACATTTCAATTAGCCAATTTAAACTCCTTTCAATGATTTAAGTGTTAAAGAATTTTATTTCAATTTAAATGGAATAATCTCGTAATTCTACAATAGGATGCAAATATTACTCACCATATCTACAATTCCATTCGTGTTTATGGGGCACATAACATTCCTAAAGACCATCACAGTCTTTTTTCTGAAACGGGCAAGAACAGACGTGCTCACACTCCAGGCCAAAATGAAAGGGGTCACATTGGATGTCTGTTGTGGTATACAAATAGGCAAGTTTAATGGCAAATGTCTGACCATTGTCAGCAACACACACTACTCAAAGATATTGTAATTCTGTTTGTTAATTAAAGTTTCCCTTCCAAACTTGGCGGTGTATGAAATTTTATATATAAATATTATATAAAAGTTGCAGTACTATATCAAGGTTTAGTGGAAATAATTCTACTTTTGGTTTTTCAAAAACCTATAACTAGAGTACTGTTTCAGATAGATAAACGAAGTTTATCATATACATAAACGATTGAATTAGCTGCCTTCGTTTAAATTTTGAGTAATTTCCGTCAATAACAAGTAATACTTTACGCTATTTCCGTTTTCTCAACAACAAAAAACGCATATATAGTGTACTAATAATAATTCGCACTATTTTGCAGACATTGTTTGCTGCTCACTTTGTGTGTAACTTTTTTCTACGAGAATCTAATATATTTTAAAAAGTTGAAGTAATTAAAAATTGATTAAAACTCATGTCTATACCCAGAGTTTTCATCCCCCATAATATATATATATATATATATATATATATATATATATATATATATATATATATATATATATATATATATATATTCGATAAAGTTTAGGGGAGATAACTCCCGCTTTATGAGTTATGTAAACATCTTTATTAACTTTTTTTTATATTCCGTGATTCATTATTTCGAAATGTGCATTTACAATCATTTATAGTAGACCGTTTACTAACACTCATATAGCACCGCAACTTTCACACCATAACCCCAACAATAAGCGCAGTAAACACACTCTGGACACAAGAACCACAGCTGCTTACTCGCCTCCGATAACCTCCACTTCACAAAACAGAATGGTTTTGTTACTCCGAACACGGATTTCCAATTCCGACACTTCTGCTCGATTAACAATGTTAGGTATAACCCACACTCGGCCGTAATATTTGAAATATAAACTATTCAGAAATCCCCAAACCCAACCGGAATTCTCTGCAAGCTTAGTGCCAAGGTCAAGCGACTCTCTCGTATTCTCTGCAATAATAAAAAAAACTTGCAATTACTGGGTCTAAAACGAGTGGGGGGTTTGTTTTTGTTTTAGATATTTTCCTCCTGGCTACGTGAGGGGGGGGGGACTTAGATTTATGGGGGGAGATGGAAAGTGTTAAAAGTATATATTTTTATGATATAGCTATATTTCGTTCAGAGGGAGCGATAGTCGGTGAACTCCGCCCCCCCCCCCTCAAAGATGCCTCAGACGATATAGGTGTGCTTTATATGAAATTATGTTTTTAAAGAAAGATTATATAACCTAAACGCCGTAGAGGTCAAAGTTGTGTAAATATTAGAAAATCTCATCTTTATTAATGCATGAGATGAGATTTCTATAAACAATAACTAAATATATTCTCTGTAAAGGACCAGATTCCCTCTAATAAAAGAGAAATCCAATTTTTTTTGGCTGCGAATAAAGTAATGTTTTGAAATATTTTCTATTTTACTGTAACGAACTATGTTTTGTATTCCAGAAGGAATATCTCACCATTGTCGGTGTGGATGATGACGTTATTTATATATCTCACCATTGTCGGTATGGATGATGACGTTATTTATATATCTCACCATTGTCAGTGTGGATGATGACGTTATTTATATATCTCACCATTGTCGGTGTGGATGATGACGTTATTTATATATCTCACCATTGTCGGTGTGGATGATGATGCTATTTATATAAGACGGTCTAGCCAAGGAAACTCTCCAGCTGCTAGAGTTCAAACAATTGGAGTTGCTTGTATCCCCATCCACTGGGATAGGGTCTGTTGCCTGCTGTTTTAGAGCCAGGTTTCTTCCTATGGTCAGCACATATGGAATAAATAAGTTCTAGAAGTTAGGTTTGGATTGAAATGAAGATCAAAGTTAAGTTTAACTTTATTTTTTTATGTTTTCTAATTGATATTGTAGTGCTAATTCACAATGTTCTATGTTTCCATCAGTAGAAAAGGAAGTACAAAAGGAAAGTAAAACAAAAAGGAAAATTAAAGTTGATGGATCTACTTTTTACCGTCGTCATGGTAATAATGGCCGTAAAGAACGAAGACACCGGGTTTCCGTTTTTACAAAATTTCAGGGTTTTTTTAACTGCTCATACATGTAATCGTTATTTTGTTTTTGTGTAATTCAACGAGACAGATCTTGTTTTAACAATGGGCGATTAGTTCTTGATATAAACTAGTCTTTATACATTTTTTGGCCTAATAGCTGAGAATATCGCGTAGAACATAAGGTGAATAAAAACGTTGATTTCCGTATTTAATACTATTTTGACAACACACCAATTTATTATGACAAATAGAACATTATATTACGTCCTATTAAACTAATTTCATGTATTTAAAACATTCATTGAATGAGTAAAAGATGTTGAGGGTTTGAGAGTATGTGTGTAGTGGAATTAATAAAATAATCATTAAAAAAGTTTTAAAAACCCACGTTTTCTGATTGAACTAAAAAGTAGAAAATAAATGCTATACATCACAATAATGCAAGCGATCACTATACTATAAGCGATGAAAAACGTGGGGCGCCGAAGTAAAAGCTATATTACTATTGATTAGATAATACTATTGACTTTTATTAGGGAGCTTGTAGAGAGTCAACAGTATTAGAAACTGTAAGAAAATCACGGCGCCCCACGTTTTTCATCGCTTATAGTAGAGTGATCGCTTGCATTATTGTGATGTATAGCATTTATTTTCTACTTTTTAGTTCAATCAGAAAACGTGGGTTTTTAAAACTTTTTTAATGATTATTATTTTCTACTTTTTAGTCTTTGTCTGTTTGTTTGCATTGAAATCTTGCTATCGATTTTATCTTTTCACTTTTTTTTTGGGTAAACGAAGACAACTCGTAAAAAGACAACTCGTAAAAAACACGTAGTGTGAATACGTTACTGACTAGAACACATAGATTTGAACCCGTGTCGAGCGGGTTAGCAATCGTGTGCCCAACCACTCGACCATATCGTCTCCCCCATACTGGCCACCAGTTGTGACAACTACTCAGTAAGCAAAAAGAGGGAGAGTACCGAACCTTCTTTTCATCAAATTACAGTTACTGGGTTATGTCCCTTTTTCCCCACGTTTTTTGTACAATTATATACGGGTATAAAATGATCAATAAAATTTTTCCATGGATCAATTTAGTAATAATAACAGTTGAATATTCTATTGTCATCCGAAACAAAGCTTCCCTGAAAATTTCAGCGCGCTAGCTAACTGGGAAGTGCACGAAATTTCGATCGCAAGATTTGATTGGAAAAACAAACAAACAAACAAACAGAGGCGAAAGCAAGTTAAAGAAAACGTGGGAAAATATTCTAAATGCGTGACTAAGCAAGTTAGGATGTGACGTGGGAGAGTATGTTTTGGTTGTTAAGGCAAATAGTTATAGACAGTCTGAGTCTTGTTCTTGTCGCTTGAGGGTGTAGAAGTCTTCGTTATGTACGTCGTCGATGTATTAAGATGTAGTCAAGTAAATTATATCTAATTAAAGATGAGAAATGTATCAAGGTCGTCCTGTCTTATTTTCTTTTGGATCGTCGTTGTATGTGTACGTATTCATCCAAGCATCGACCCAGTCCAGATACTCAGTTCATAACACAAATCATAGGTGACTGACCTCGACTGAAATGTATCCTACATCTATTATCTTTTTCCCAATACTCTATTCTCGATAGATCAAATAAAAGGAATGGTTGGCAAAAGAAATCAAATCCGTAACTACTCAAGCGGGAGATGTAATATCTTTTGCATCCAAAATAGCTATTCATATTTGAATAAACACGATTCTCCTCGTAATTTGACAAAATATGATCTGTTTAGAGAAAAAAAAATGCTTGTGTTTTAATATTTAAAAAAAAACAACTGGAAATCGAGATTTTGACAAATCTCTACGTTTTTCACCTCGGTAATTCAGAAAAAAAAAACCTTAGTCTTAAAATTAGACTGTATGTCTTTGTGTGTTTGTGTCTCAGTGTGTGCCTGGGAATACGATAACTTAAATGTGTATGTACAGACTCTAAATCTAATCGTGGATCAGTGTCAACAATAATATACCACATTTTAATGCGCCTTGAGTGGTTGAAATTTTGTGAAATTGTGTGTTTTCTTTTCTGTCTTTCTTGCAGAATAGGCAAGCAGCAATTTAAAAAAAAAGAGTTTGTAATAAAGAGAGGAAACGTATGGTGTCGAAGTATTTGGGGTGGGTGGAGGGTTCCACATGGTGCCACATTTAAGATGGCTTGTTTCCTTGCCTTAATAGATATATTGGGGTTTGACATCACTTAAAGAAAACTAAGAATTTAAAATCTACTTTAATTACCTTTATAGATGAATCGAGCCCATGTAAAGTGCGACAGATAATAGTTGTTAAAATACCCTACGTGTACTTTATCGTGGAATTCACAATCAGTCAAATTAACTCTTACACGTGGGTCAAAATGCATATAGTAATCCACTGTTAAAACATAGTAATTAATGTATACATGTAATAGTAACATTAGTATTACAAAGAAATGTGATGGGACTTTAAGACCATTGTTTTATATATAAATAATATTCTAGCTATTACGTCTAAGGCAATGTTCTGTACTATCATCATCTTTTCCCTTCTGAATATACACAGATCTATTTCAGGTAACAGATTCATTCTGGGGTAGATGACAAGATTTTAATTCATCATTTTTTTTTCTTTTTTATGCCAAGAAGTAGAGTTCATCTGTTTTCAATAACCTCAGCATGCTAGGGGATAGTGTGGTCAGTATTATGCCCAGCCGCCTTTGTTCCAATAACGCGAGTAAGGTACCCATCTAAGCTGGGTGTACTCAGGGACGTCATACAGAATCGAGCCCGGGGTCCAACTATCGAGTTAGCAGTTAAACTGGTGTGTGAGATGCTTTGCTATAATAGAGACACAGTAAATTGTATACAACAGTAATCGTCTCACTTTTCTCACAGTTAATTTAAATATTATTTAATATTGCTGAACATTATCGCAAGAATATTTAAGTATAGGAAGTGATTAACGACAAAATACTTTCAATAAATTATTTAATATGATCCATTCTACTTGAATCTACTTTACCATACTGGCACTTGTGACCAAAGTAGAAGTATTCACATCCGTATTTACAGTCCCCCGAAGCGCTGCATGGTGTATTTGGCGTGCAGTGACACATATACTGGCACTTAGAGCCGAACCAGCCGGTCGGACATTCTGCGGAGGGAAACGAAAACCCTGGCTTAAATCCTAATCAGATAATCTATTGGATTAGGAAGTCTTTAATCCTAACTATCTGGCCTAGAGATTATATATATATATATATATATATATATACATATATATATATATATATATATATATATATATATATATATATATATATATATATATATATATATATATATATATATATAATATAAGCGGGCTGTGTCTGTCCTTCCTTCCGTCCGTCATCGCTATAGATTTTGGGACTATAAAAGTAAACAACGCACCATGCTGTGCTTTTCAGTGCACCGCAGTGTCTTATTATAGTTAATAGAGTAGGGTTTGTTTATATAACGGCATAGAGCTATTTTATAATTTCCACTGTTTGTACAATTTTGCATAACGTAAAGAGAATATTAAATACACGCACATTGCTAAAACATATTAAAAGGATCAATGTCAAATATCGTTTTCGTTAATATTCCCAGAAAGAGCGGATACATATTAATAACATAATAACAGTACGGTAGAAAAATCTAAATAAACTGCTTAGTAATTTTGCCAATGGAGGTAATTCAAAGATAAATTGAACTCACGCTTAAAATGTGAATGCAAAATCTGCAAGACGGAATAATTGTTGGAATAATATAATTAGCAAAATGTGAATGCAAATTATGCAGACGTGTAAGAGTACATTATTGTTGGAATATTATAATTAGCATTGATTGATAAAAGGCTATCTTTTATTTATTTTATTCACTGAATGTAATGTTTACTACTTATAATTTTTAATCAACTATTAAGCACTATTATAGACGCGTCATCACGTTCATTGGGTGCGCAATGGTTTTAGTTATGAAACTCTATTGTAAATTTTTAAAATTTAATGTACTGGGGAAAAAAATGCGTGAATTGATCAAGTGATATAATATGACAGGTAAAACACGGATATTTTAAATACTGCTGTGGGTTTTATAGGAGAGGCGTAGAGGGGGGGGGGGAATATGTCCCCGGTTGCCGACCTAAGGGGGCGCCAAAGTGGGTTAGAAAAAAATTGCGGGGGGGGTGGAAATCGAAAGTTTGAGGGCGGTGAGAGGGTGCAAATCGAAAGTTTGAGGGGGGGGGGTGCAAATCAACAGTTTGAGCGGGGGGAATTTCAAATCAAAAGTTGTGCAAATCGAAAGTCTGAACGGGGGGGGGGGGGGGTGAAAATCGAAAGTTTAAGGGGGTGGGGTGGAAATTGAAATTTTGAGGAGAAGGGGTGCAAATCGTAAGTTTGAGGGGGGGGGGGAGTCTAATCGAAAGTTTTTCCCCGGGCGCCGGAAAGGGTCGCTACGCCTCTGTTTTATAGTCATTCACTGTGTCAGACGCGTTCGGCGGCGCTCGGAAAGGGCGCGATTTGGCGATACGGGCTAGACTGTGCACAATATGCCTTTATGATTGCATTTAAATTGTGTTTATGTTATGAGTGTTATGTTTGTTTTTTCGTTTGTTTTTTTTGCGTTCGTTTGTGTTGTGTTTAGTTTTGTTCTGTTCCCAAGTTGGTACATTTAAAAAAGATTTACCGTGGCGGAGCACGGGATGCAGCTAGTATCTATAATATAAGCGGGCTGAGCGTGTGTCAGTCCTTCCTTCTGTCATCGCTATAGCTTTTAGAACCATAAAAGTAAACATTCGCACCACGCAGTGCTTTTCAGTGCACCGCAGTGTCTTATTGTAAGTATTAGAGTAGGGTTTGTTTATATAGTGGCATAGAGCTATTTTATAATTTCCACTGTTTGTACAATTTTGCATAACGTAAAGAGA